GTTTCATCCAGCGCCTTGTCCTCGTCTCCCGGTGGCCCACCAAAGTAGCGGGTGCTGGTCTCTGCTGTGGCTGATTTTCGAACCAGTAGCAGGGTTTCCAGCCGTTCTAAATGCTAGATATTCGGTTTTTCCGAACCGGAACATAGGTTGTCTGGGTACCCTTAAACGTTTCCAAATCTCCGTTCCAAATTCCAAAATTTCGATTCCAAATTTTGGAACGCCAGCAAGATTCATTTTAACCGTGACTCCTTGGAAAGGTTGAAACCTTTTCCACGGGCAGGTTTAGTACAGTACAATACTGCCAGTATTTTCAGTATTGCAGTACCTTTGGCCATAATATACTGTACTGCACGCTTTAGTACAGCTTTCAATACTGGAATAAAAATACTGCACTCTCCAGTACAGCTCTCGATACTGGAATATACTGTACTGGCAGAAAGGCTCTCGGTACTGTACTGTACTGCACGCTTTAGTACAGCTTTCAATACTGGAATAAAAATACTGCACTCTCCAGTACAGCTCTCGATACTGGAATATACTGTACTGGCAGAAAGGCTCTCGGTACTGTACTGTACTGCACGCTTTAGTACAGCTTTCAATAATACTGGAATATCCAGTACTTCCCAGTATTTACTGGCAGTATCAACCCGAAATCCACCGAAGGGCGTTTTGGTGACGTCATCTTTTGGCAGAAATGCAGGACGCTCTTGTCCAATTGGTCTAGTCCTACAGTCCCACCCTGCTGCAAGCGGCGAGTAAGCGACTACTGCTGTGCGCAGTTTACTGCTGAACTGGTACTACTGGTGCTCGAGCAGTGGCCCGCAGCCACTAGGCAACGATGAGTGACGCCGCAGTTGGTCCCGCCACCCCCGCGGCGAGTGGCGCCGGCGCGGGTGCATCAACACAATCGGCAGCGCAGGAGGAAAAGCAAGGAGACGTCGAGGCGGGGTCTGCGGGTGGAGGAGNTCTCCAGTACAGCTCTCGATACTGGAATATACTGTACTGGCAGCACGGCTCTCGGTACTGTACTGTACTGGACGTTTTAGTACGCAGTTAAATACTGGAATAAAAATACTGTACTGTACTAAACCTGCCCGTGATTTTACATTCATAATTGTATGTGGAATGTGGCCTTCACGGGGAACATGGCGCAGTGTCGTTTGAAATTTGCTGTTTTTAGAAAATACTTCGCTGCTGTTTTAGGCGACTTGAATATAAATATATATTTGTACAGCTGTAGGACTGTTTTACATGTACACGCACCACAATTTTTTTTTTGAAAAAAATTGAACTTCAACAATTGGAGTTGTTCTGCTGTAGATTTGAATGTGGCTGTTTCCCCGCTCATTTTGAAATCTACAATGTTGTGTTGTTCGAGTACGTGCAACGCGTTGAAGGGGAGGGGGATACATAGGATAGTAGGTTAGGAGTAATGCCGATTTACAGCAATGGAGTTTAGTCTTTCCTGTGTGTAGCGTATCATCGAGGCAAATGAACAGGCGACGGTCAGCATAGCAGTAGAGTTGCATCGCGAGAATGGTCCAGCCGTCTCTTTGCCTCGTCACCATTACATTTCGCCTTCACCCGCAATTTTTTTTATTTTTCTTAATACGTCACAACGAGTCCATCTCTATCATAGAAAAGAGTCAAGAGACAGATTAACAATGGAATCATAGCGTCAGAGAAAACCACCTGTGTGTCTACGATTTCCCAGACAGCATATAGGGACATTTTTTGTAAATTTTTCACCCCGCGGGGATTCGAACTCTTGACCCCTGCGACTAGCGCTTTGTGAGGATACCACCAGACCACTGGGGCGACTGGCTCAGAGCAGCAAGTAGCAAGTTGTGAAGGGGCCGAGCGCGTCGAGAAGCGAGAATGATCATGGCATTTGGTGTTGGCAGCTGAGGTAGCCGCAAGTGGGCCCCATCTTCCTTCTGAAAAACGTTGTTCGCCCTGTATGGTGAATTGAAGTTCGTCGCGGTGCTCCGTCTCTCTCTCTCTCTCTCTCTCTCTCTCTCTCTCTCTCTCTCTCTCT